ACTCACTCACCACAACTCACTCACCACTCACTCACCACTCACTCACCACAACTCACACCACTCACTCACCACAACTCACCACAACTCACTCACCACAACTCACTCACCACAACTCACTCACCACAACTCACCACCACTCACCACCACTCACTCACCACAACTCACCACCACTCACCACCACTCACCACCACTCACCACCACTCACTCACCACAACTCACACCACTCACCACCACTCACCACCACTCACTCACCACAACTCACCACCACTCACAACCACTCACTCACCACAACTCACCACCACTCACCACCACTCACTCACCACAACTCACCACTACTCACCACCACTCACCACCACTCACTCACCACAACTCACACCACTCACCACCACTCACCACCACTCACTCACCACAACTCACACCACTCACCACCACTCACCACCACTCACTCACCACAACTCACCACAACTCACTCACCACAACTCACCACAACTCACTCACCGCAACTCACCACAACTCACTCATCACAACTCACTCACGACAACTCACCACAACTCACTCACCACAACTCACCACAACTCACCACAACTCACCACAACTCACTCACTCACCACAACTCACTCACTCACCGCAACTCACTCACCACAACTCACTCACCACAATTCACTCACCACAACTCACCACAACTCACCACAACTCACTCACCACAACTCACCACAAATCACTCACCACTCACTCACTCACCACCACTCACTCACTCACCACAACTCACTCACCACCACTCACCACTCACTCACCACAACTCACTCACCGCAACTCACTCACCACAACTCACTCACCACAACTCACCACAACTCACCACAGCTCACCACAGCTCACTCACCACAACTCACTCACCACAACTCACCACTCACTCACCACAACTCACTCACCACAACTCACTCACCACAACTCACTCACCGCAACTCACTCACCACAACTCACTCACCACAACTCACTCACCACCACTCACCACTCACTCACCACAACTCACTCACCACAACTCACCACAACTCACCACAGCTCACCACAACTCACTCACCACAACTCACCACTCACTCACCACAACTCACTCACCACAACTCACTCACCACAACTCACCACAACTCACTCACCACAACTCACTCACCACAACTCACCACAGCTCACCACAACTCACTCACCACAACTCACTCACCACAACTCACCACAACTCACTCACCACAACTCACCACAACTCACTCACCACAACTCACCACAACTCACTCACCACTCACTCACTCACCACCACTCACTCACTCACCACAACTCACTCACCACTCACTCACCACAACTCACCACAACTCACTCACCACTCACTCACCACAACTCACCACTCACTCACCACAACTCACTCACCACAACTCACCACAACTCACTCACCACAACTCACTCACTCACCACAACTCACTCACCACAACTCACCACAACTCACCACAGCTCACCACAACTCACTCACCACAACTCACTCACCACAACTCACCACAACTCACCACAGCTCACCACAGCTCACTCACCACAACTCACTACAAATCCACACGACAGCAGCATCAGCAAGCACCAGGATCGGGATCGAACCGACGACCTCCTGTAGACCAGGCGAGGTAGTCAACATTGTCATAGCCACTGTGATGATGATGATGATGAGAGAGAGACACAGACCTCCTGTATACCAGGCGAGGTAGTCAACATCTCATAGCCACTATGATGATGATGATGAGAGAGAGACACAGACCTCCTGTATACCAGGCGAGGTAGTCAACATCTCTTAGCCACCGTGATGATGATGATGAGAGAGAGAGACACAGACCTCCTGTATACCAGGCGAGGTAGTCAACATCTCTTAGCCACCGTGATGATGATGATGATGAGAGAGAGAGAGACACAGACCTCCTGTATACCAGGCGAGGTAGTCAACATCTCATAGCCACCGTGATGATGATGATGATGAGAGAGAGACACAGACCTACTGTAGACCAGGCGAGGTAGTCAACATCTCTTAGCCACCGTGATGATGATGATGATGAGAGAGAGACACAGACCTCCTGTATACCAGGCGAGGTAGTCAACATCTCCTAGCCACTGTGATGATGATGATGATGAGAGAGAGACACAGACCTCCTGTATACCAGGCGAGGTAGTCAACATCTCTTAGCCACCGTGATGATGATGAGAGAGAGAGACACAGACCTCCTGTATACCAGGCGAGGTAGTCAACATCTCATAGCCACCGTGATGATGATGATGAGAGAGACACAGACCTCCTGTAGATCAGGCGAGGTAGTCAACATCTCATAGCCACCGTGATGATGAGAGAGAGAGACACAGACCTCCTGTATACCAGGCGAGGTAGTCAACATCTCTTAGCCACCGTGATGATGATGATGATGAGAGAGAGAGAGACACAGACCTCCTGTATACCAGGCGAGGTAGTCAACATCTCTTAGCAACCGTAATGATGGGAGAGAGAGAGAGAGACGCAGACTCCAAATCTACAGCAGCAGGCATCGTCAGGGTCGGGATCGAACCCACGACCTCCTGTACACCAGGCGAGGTAGTCAACATCTCTTAGCCACCGTGATAATGATGATGATGAGAGAGAGAGACGCAGGCTCCAAATCTACAGCAGCAGCAGCAGTAGCAAGCGTCAGTGTCGGGATCGAACCCACGACCTCCTGTACACCAGGCGAGGTAGTCAACATCTCCTAGTCCACCGTGATTCCCTTTGTTGCTAGCGAGTACCTAATGAAGGCTACCGGCACTGTGGCACACACAGAGGGGGTGGGTGGTCAGCAGCACGCCAAGCCCGGCCGCCTTTGTCTCTCTCCCAGTGGCGATGTTTGCCACGCTCCGCTACGCCAGGGTACTACCCAAAGCAGCACTTGCCTCAACAGTCTGTCAGGGCTATACTGGATCTTTGTCTGCGTGTGTGCGTGTGTGTGTGTGTCCATGTGTGTGCGTGTCTTTGTTGTGTGTGTGTGTATGTAGTTTAGATTAGTCTATGTGGGTGTCATGGGTCTCTAATGGGTCTCTATGAAACTCTATGGAGCTCTATGTGTCTCTATGTGTCTCTATGGGACTCTGTGTCCCTATGTGTCTCTATGGAACTCTATGGATCTCTATGGGTCTCTATGGGTCTTTGTGTATCTACGGGTCTCTATGGGTCTCTATGGCTCTATTAGTCTCTATGGATCTCTATGGATTTCTATGTGTCTCTATGGACCTCTATGGGTCTCTATGTGTCTCTATGGAACTTTATGTGTCTCTATGGGTCTCTATGGGACTCTATGGGTCTCTATGGAACTCTATGGGACTCTATGTGTCTCTATGGGTCTCTATGGACCTCTATGGGTCTCTATTGACCTCTATGTGTCTCTATGTGTCTCTATGGGTCTGCATGGGTCTCTATGGGCATCTATGGGTCTCTATGCGTTTCGAGTATTTGCTGCCTTAAATGTCCACGTGACGATGACGATGGTGATGATGATGATGGTGCTGATGATGACGATGTTGACGATGATGATGACGATGGTGATGATGACGATGTTGATGATGATGATGACGATGGTGATGATGATGACGATGTTGACGATGATGATGATGATGACGACGATGGTGATGATGACGGTCATGATGACGATGTTGATGATGATGATGATGACGATGGTGACGATGACGATGGTGATGACGATGGTGACGATGTTGACGATGTTGACGATGATGATGACGATGGTGATGATGACGATGTTGATGATGATGACGATGGTGATGATGATGACGATGTTGACGATGATGATGATGATGACGACGATGGTGATGATGACGGTCATGATGACGATGTTGATGATGATGATGACGATGGTGACGATGACGATGGTGATGACGATGGTGACAATGATGACGATGTTGACGATGACGACGATGACGATGGTGATGACGATGGTGACGATGTTGACGATGTTGACGATGACGATGATGACGATGGTGATGCTGATGATGATGATGTTGACGATGACGGTGATGATGACGATGATGATGATGGTGACAAACCACCACTTGGTTGAGCTGAGCTGGTGGGTGGGGGTGAAATCTGTTGTCCTCTTGCCCCCTCCTACCACCACCACCACCACCACCACCCCACCCTTGTCCAGCAAACAGCAGACGACCTCGTCCAGAGAATAAAGAGTAAGGTCTCCGGTCGGCGCGGACGGGGAAGGTCACACCGGGGGAAGGTGGAGTGGGGTGGTGGTTGCTGACGGTTGAGGAGGAGGAGGAGGCGGAGGAGGAGTAGGAGGAGGAGTAGGAGGAGGAGGAGGAGGAGGAGGAGGAGGTGGAGTGGGGTGGTGGTTGTTGACAGTTGAGGAGGAGGAGGAGTAGGAGGAGGCAGAGGAGGAGGAGGAGTAGGAGGAGGAGGAGGAGGAGGTGGAGTGGGGTGGTGGTTGTTGACAGTTGAGGAGGAGGAGGAGTAGGAGGAGGCGGAGGAGTAGGAGGCAGTGTGGGGTGGTGGTTGTTGACAGTTGAGGAGTAGGAGGCGGAGGAGGAGGCGGAGGAGTAGGAGTAGGAGGAGGCAGAGGAGGAGGAGGAGGAGGAGGAGGAGGAGGAGGAGGAGGAGGAGGAGGCGGAGGAGGAGGAGGAGGCGGAGGCGGAGGAGTAGGAGGAGGAGGCGGAGGAGGAGGAGGAGGCAGAGGAGGAGGAGGAGTAGGAGGAGGAGGAGGAGGAGGAGGCAGAGGAGGAGGAGGAGGCGGAGGAGTAGGAGGAGGCGGAAGAGGAGTAGGAGGAGTAGGAGGAGGCGGAGGTGGAGGTAGAGGCGGAGGAGTAGGAGGAGGCGGAGGCGGAGGAGTAGGAGGAGGAGGAGGCAGAGGCGGAGGAGGAGGAGTAGGAGTAGGAGGAGGCGGAGGAGTAGGAGTAGGAGGAGGCGGAGGAGGAGTAGGAGTAGGAGGAGGCGGAGGAGGAGTAGGAGGAGGCGGAGGAGGAGGCGGAGGAGGAGGAGGCGGAGGCGCTAGCGATGGGGGTGGCGAGTCGGGGCGACGGGCGGCTTTGGCGACGGGCGGCCGGCCCGCCGAGCCAGGCGCACGGCGGGGGGCCCACGAAAGCTCCGTCGACGGCGCACGCCAGCACCACGGCCAAGGACTTCATCACCAACATCGTGGACCAGCTGCCGTGTGAGTAGCGGACGCGAGTCTCGTAGGGCGGCAGGGACACGCCGGAGTGCGGGGTCTCATCGCCGTGAGCATGTCGAGGTCACCCTTCGGGCGCGTAGTCCGGCCGTGGCTTATCGGTAGGTGCTGGGCGGGGGGTGACGGATAATCAACGGACGCAACGAACAACCACAGCAAGCGGCATTTCTATCAAAATGCGTTTGTCAGCGTGGGTGATTTGAACGTACATTGAACTTCTCCTTTGCACCGCCACCTTACGTAGCCCGGGAAGGTTACTGGGGGAGGTCGCTAGCACACCCGCAGGCTACCCTAGCCTGGTGCCAATTTCCCCCCTTACCCCGGGGTCCCATCGCTCCCTCAGGGGTAAAGGTACTAGGGGAGGCCCCTAGCACACCCACAGACTACTCTAGCCTGGTGCCAATTTCCCCCTACCCCTGAGTCCCATCGCTCCCCCGGGGGAAGGGTACTGGGGAGGCCCCTAGCACACCCACAGGCTACCCTAGCCTGGTGTCAATTTCCCCCTACCCTGGGGTCCCATCGCTCCCTCAGGGGTAGAGGTACTGGAGAGGTCCCTAGCACACCCGCAGGCTACTCTAGCCTGGTGCCAATTTCCCCCTACCCTGTGTCCCATCGCTCCCCCGGGGGTAGAGGTACTGGGGAGGCCCCTAGCACACCCACAGGCTACTCTAGCCTGGTGCCAATTTCCCCCCTACCCCGGGGTCCCATCGCTCCCCCCAAGGTAAGGGTACTGGGGGAGGCCCCTAGCACACCCACAAGGCTACTCTAGCCTGGTGCCAATTTCCCCCCTACCCTGAGTCCCATCGCTCCCCCCAAGGTAAGGGTACTGGGGGAGGCCCCTAGCACACCCACAGGCTACTCTAGCCTGGTGCCAATTTCCCCCTACCCTGGGGTCCCATCGCTCCCTCAGGGGTAGAGGTACTGGGGAGGTCCCTAGCACACCCACAGACTACTCTAGCCTGGTGTCAATTTCCCCCCTACCCTGAGTCCCATCGCTCCCTCAGGGGTAGAGGTACTGGGGAGGTCCCTAGCACACCCACAGACTACCCTAGCCTGGTGCTAATTACCCCCTACCCTGGGGTCCCATCGCTCCCCCCAAGGTAAGGGTACTGGGGGAGGTCCCTAGCATACCCGCAGGCTACCCTAGCCTGGTGCCAATTTCTCCCTACCCCTGAGTCCCATCGCTCCCCCAGGGGTAGAGGTACTGGGGAGGCCCCTAGCACACCCGCAGGCTACCCTAGCCTGGTGCCAATTTCCCCCCTACCCTGAGTCCCATCGCTCCCCCCAAGGTAAGGGTACTGGGGGAGGCCCGTAGCACACCCGCAGACTACCCTAGCCTGGTGCTAATTTCCCCCTACCCTGTGTCCCATCGCTCCCCCGGGGGAAGGGTACTGGGGAGGTCCCTAGCACACCCACAGGCTACTCTAGCCTGGTGTCAATTTCCCCCTACCCTGTGTCCCATCGCTCCCCCGGGGAAAGGTTACTGGTGGAGGCCCCTAGCACACCCACAGGCTACCCTAGCCTGGTGTCAATGTCCCCCTACCCTGAGTCCCATCGCTCCCTCAGGGGTAGAGGTACTGGGGAGGTCCCTAGCACACCCGCAGGCTACCCTAGCCTGGTGCCAATTTCCCCCTACCCTGAGTCCCATCGCTCCCTCAGGGGTAGAGGTACTGGGGAGGTCCCTAGCACACCCACAGGCTACCCTAGCCTGGTACCAATTTCCCCCTACCCTGGGGTCCCATCGCTCCCTCAGGGGTAGAGGTACTAGGGGAGGCCCCTAGCACACCCACAGACTACTCTAGCCTGGTGCCAATTTCCCCCTACCCTGTGTCCCATCGCTCCCTCTGGGGTAGAGGTACTGGGGAGGTCCCTAGCACACCCACAGGCTACCCTAGCCTGGTGCCAATTTCCCCCTACCCTGGGGTCCCATCGCTCCCTCAGGGGTAGAGGTACTAGGGGAGGCCCCTAGCACACCCACAGACTACTCTAGCCTGGTGCCAATTTCCCCCTACCCTGTGTCCCATCGCTCCCTCTGGGGTAGAGGTACTGGGGAGGTCCCTAGCACACCCACAGGCTACCCTAGCCTGGTGCCAATTTCCCCCTACCCTGTGTCCCATCGCTCCCCCAGGGGTAGAGGTACTGGGGAGGTCCCTAGCACACCCACAGACTACTCTAGCCTAGTGCCAGTTTCCCCCTACCCTGTGTCCCATCGCTCCCCCCAAGGTAAGGGTACTGGGGGAGGTCCCTAGCACACCCACAGGCTACGCTAGCCTGGTGTCAATTTCCCCCTTACCCCGGGGTCCCATCGCTCCCTCATGGGTAGAGGTACTGGGGAGGCCCCTAGCACACCCACAGGCTACCCTAGCCTGGTGCTAATTCTCTCCTACCCTGGGGTCCCATCGCTCCCTCAGGGGTAGAAGTACTGGGGAGGCCCCTAGCACACCCGCAGGCTACCCTAGCCTGGTGCCAATTTCCCCCCTTACCCCGGGGTCCCATCGCTCCCCCGGGGGAAGGGTACTGGGGAGGTCCCTAGCACACCCACAGACTACTCTAGCCTGGTGCCAATTTCCCCCCTACCCTGGGGTCCCATCGCTCCCTCAGGGGTAGAGGTACTGGGGGAGGCCCCTAGCACACCCACAGACTACTCTAGCCTGGTGCCAATTTCCCCGACTTCCACCCTTCACTTTCCCGGACCCTCCATGAAGACCCTGAACCCGTGACGGGTTCCGGCTTAAATCCCCCCAGGGGGACGTGACGTCACCGTCCCGCGGCGCCCCTGTGCATGACGTCACCGTCCGTGACGTCATCGGACCAGAGGGCGAGCTTGACATGACGTCACTCACTCCTGCCATACACTTGTACGCGTCTTGAACTTGTTATTAGTTTTGCACCGCTGTGCGTAGCCCGGGCCGTGGCTAACACAGAGGTGCCGGGGTGAGGAACAACAAACCAACACAACAACAACAACAGCAGCAGTGCTAAAGAAATGAGTTCGTCAATCTAAACGACGACGATGATGTAAAAGTTGCTTCCTCATATCGGAAGGAAGAGCGTTCCAGACGGCCGCAGAAGCAGCAGCACATCTGGAAGCACCGTGCGATGACGCGGTGACCACCGTTTTTGTTCGATGGCGAACCAAAAGTGTAGTGTATAGTGTAATGTATTGTAGTGTAGTGTATAGTGTAGTGTATAGTAGTGTAGTGTATAGTGTAGTGTATAGTAGTGTAGTGTGGTGTATAGTGTAGTGTATAGTAGTGTAGTGTATAGTGTAGTGTATAGTAGTGTAGTGTATAGTAGTGTAGTGTATAGTAGTATAGTGTATAGTAGTCTAGTATATAGTGTAGTGTATAGTGTAGTGTATAGTAGTGTATAGTAGTGTAGTGTATAGTAGTGTAGTATATAGTGTAGTGTATAGTAGTGTAGTGTATAGTAGTGTAGTGTATAGTGTAGTGTATAGTAGTGTTTAGTGTAGTGTATAGTAGTGTAGTGTATAGTAGTGTATAGTAGTGTAGTGTATAGTAGTGTAGTGTATAGTAGTGTAGTGTATAGTAGTGTAGTGTATAGTAGTGTAGCGTATAGTAGTGTAGTGTATAGTGTAGTGTATAGTAGTGTTTAGTGTAGTGTAATGTATAGTGTAGTGTATAGTAATGTAGTGTATAGTAGTGTATAGTAGTGTAGTGTATAGTAGTGTAGTGTATAGTAGTGTAGTGTATAGTAGTGTAGTGTATAGTAGTGTAGTGTATAGTATAGTAGTGTAGTGTATAGTAGTGTAGTGTATAGTAGTGTAGTGTATAGTGTAGTGTATACTACACTATACACTATCCCATCAAGCCTAAATTAATCATCTATTAACGGTCGTGTGTCGTTATTCTTGGAAACTTGTATGCCAAGTCACGCACGCGGTGCTTAAACCAAACAAATGTTTGCTCCTGGATAGCCCGAAATAAAACGTGATCGCCTCTACAGTAAAGGAGTTGCCATTTATCTACAACAGTGGGTGGCAGAGTTTGATTGACGTTGATTGGCTGTGGCTCTGCTGTCATTCGCTCAGTGGGCAGAGTTTGATTGATGTTGATTGGCTGTGGCTGTCATCCAATCAGGGGGCAGAGTTTGATTGATGTTGATTGGCTGTGGCTGTCATCCAATCGGTGGGCAGAGTTTGATTGATGTTGATTGGCTGTGGCTGTCATCCACTCAGTGGGCAGAGTTTGATTGACGTTGATTGGCTGTGGCTCTGCTGTCATTCGCTCAGTGGGCAGAGTTTGATTGATGTTGATTGGCTGTGGCTGTCGTCCAATCAGTGGGCAGAGTTTGATTGATGCTGATTGGCTGTGGCTCTGCCATCATCCAATCGGTGGGCAGAGTTTGATTGATGTTGATTGGCTGTGGCTCTGCCATCATCCAATCGGTGGGCAGAGTTTGATTCATGCTGATTGGCTGTGGCTCTGCCATCATCCAATCGGTGGGCAGAGTTTGATTGATGTTGATTAGCTGTGGCTCTGCCATCATCCAATCGGTGGGCAGAGTTTGATTGATGTTGATTGGCTGTGGCTGTCATCCAATCGGTGGGCAGAGTTTGATTGATGTTGATTGGCTGTGGCTGTCATCCACTCAGTGGGCAGAGTTTGATTGACGTTGATTGGCTGTGGCTCTGCTGTCATTCGCTCAGTGGGCAGAGTTTGATTGATGTTGATTGGCTGTGGCTGTCGTCCAATCAGTGGGCAGAGTTTGATTGATGCTGATTGGCTGTGGCTCTGCTATCATCCAATCAGTGGGCAGAGTTTGATTGATGTTGATTGGCTGTGGCTCTGCCATCATCCAATCGGTGGGCAGAGTTTGATTCATGCTGATTGGCTGTGGCTCTGCCATCATCCAATCGGTGGGCAGAGTTTGATTGATGTTGATTGGCTGTGGCTCTGCCATCATCCAATCGGTGGGCAGAGTTTGATTGATGTTGATTGGCTGTGGCTCTGCCATCATCCAATCGGTGGGCAGAGTTTGATTCATGCTGATTGGCTGTGGCTCTGCCATCATCCAATCGGTGGGCAGAGTTTGATTGATGTTGACTGGCTGTGGCTCTGCCATCATCCAATCGGTGGGCAGAGTTTGATTGATGTTGATTGGCTGTGGCTATCATCCACTCAGTGGGCAGAGTTTGATTGATGCTGATTGGCTGTGGCTCTGCCATCATTCAATCGGTGGGCAGAGTTTGACTGATGTTGATTGGCTGTGGCTCTGCCATCATCCAATCGGTGGGCAGAGTTTGATTGATGTTGATTGGCTGTGGCTCTGCCATCATCCAATCGGTGGGCAGAGTTTGATTGATGTTGATTGGCTGTGGCTCTGCCATCATCCAATCGGTGGGCAGAGTTTGATTGATGTTGATTGGCTGTGGCTCTGCCATCATCCAATCGGTGGGCAGAGTTTGATTGATGTTGACTGGCTGTGGCTCTGCCATCATCCAATCGGTGGGCAGAGTTTGATTCATGCTGATTGGCTGTGGCTCTGCCATCATCCAATCGGTGCGCTCTCGATCGAAAGGGTAAAGAATAGAAATCAGGAGTGGGCGGGCTATGAGAAGTGGGCGAGGTTTTTTTTAAAAGTGGGCGGGGCTGCTAGGAGTGGGCGGGGCTCGCTAGCGAGGGCGCCTCCCTGCTCTGGCACTGCGTGAGTGTCCCGTGGCTGTCGTCAGGGTCGGTATAGAACCCACGACCTCCTGCACACCAGGCGAGGTAGTCAACATCTCCTAGCCACCGTGATGATGATGATGAGAGAGACACACAGACCTCCTGTAGACCCAGGCGAGGTAGTCAACATCTTATAGCCACTGTGATGATGATGATGAGAGAGAGACACAGACCTCCTGTAGACCAGGCGAGGTAGTCAACATCTCATAGCCACCGTGATGATGATGAGAGAGACACAGACCTCCTGTAGACCAGGCGAGGTAGTCAACATCTCATAGCCACTGTGATGATGCTGAGAGAGACACATACCTCCTGTATACCCAGCGAGGTAGTCAACATCTCATAGCCACCGTGATGATGAGAGAGAGACACAGACTCCGAATATACAGCAGCAGGCATCGTCAGGGTCAGGATCGAACCCACGACCTCCTGTAGATCCGGCGAGGTAGTCAACATCTCATAGCCACCGTGATGATGATGATGATGAGAGAGACACAGACCTCCTGTAGACTAGGCGAGGTAGTCAACATCTCCTAGCCACTGTGATGATGATGATGATGAGAGAGAGACAGACCTCCTGTAGACCCAGCGATGTAGTCAACATCTCCTAGCCACTGTGATGATGAGAGAGAGACACAGACTCCGAATATACAGCAGCAGGCATCGTCAGGGTCAGGATCGAACCCACGACCCCCTGTAGACCCGGCGAGGTAGTCAACATCTCCTAGCCACCTTAGTGATGATGATGAGAGAGAGAGACTCAGACTCCAAATCTACAGCAGCAGCAGCAGGCATCGTCAGGGTCAGGATCGAACCCACGACCTCCTGTATACCAGGCGAGGTAGTCAACATCTCCTAGCCACCGTGATGATGATGATGATGAGAGAGAGAGACGCAGACTCTAAATATACAGCAGCAGGCATCGTCAGGGTCAGGATCGAACAAACAACCTCCTGTAGACCCGGCGAGGTAGTCAACATCTCATAGCCACTGTGACGACGATGATGAGAGAGAGAGACTCAGACTCCAAATCTACAGCAGCAGCAGCAGGCATCGTCAGGGTCGCGATCGAACCCACGACCTCCTGTATACCAGGCGAGGTAGTCAACATCTCCTAGCCACCGTGATGATGATGATGAGGGAGAAAGACTCAGACTCCAAATCTACAGCAGCAGCAGCAGCAGGCATCGTCAGGGTCGGGATCGAACCCACGACCTCCTGTAGACCCAGCGAGGTAGTCAACATCTCCTAGCCACCTTAGTGATGATGATGATGATGAGAGAGAGAGACGCAGACTCTAAATATACAGCAGCAGCAGCAGGCATCGTCAGGGTCGGGATCGAACCCACGACCTCCTGTATACCCGGCGAGGTAGTCAACATTTCCTAGCCATCGTGATGATGATGATGATGAGAGAGAGACACAGACCTCCTGTAGACCAAGCGAGGTAGTCAACATCTCATAGCCACCGTGATGATGATGAGAGAGACACAGACCTCCTGTAGACCAGGCGAGGTAGTCAACATCTCATAGCCACTGTGATGATGATGAGAGAGAGACACAGACCTCCTGTAGACCCAGCGAGGTAGTCAACATCTCCTAGCCACCGTGATGATGATGAGAGAGAGACACAGACCTCCTGTATACCCAGCGAGGTAGTCAACATCTCCTAGCCACTGTGATGATGAGAGAGAGACACAGACTCCGAATATACAGCAGCAGGCATCATCAGGGTCAGGATCGAACCCACGACCTCCTGTATACCAGGCGAGGTAGTCAACATCTCCTAGCCACCGTGATGATGATGATGAGAGAGAGAGACTCAGACTCCAAATATACAGCAGCAGCAGCAGGCATCGTCAGGGTCGGGATCGAACCCACGACCTCCTGTATACCTGGCGAGGTAGTCAACATCTCCTAGCCACCGTGATGATGATGAGAGAGAGACACAGACTCCGAATATACAGCAGCAGGCATCGTCAGGGTCAGGATCGAACCCCCTAACCCTTTGCGCATCCACCCACCCCCCCCCTCCCTCACCCCCCCCCCCCCCCCACCCTGACCCCCAGTCCCTCAATGGGCCCTGATCGCCATGTGTGTGGGAGGGGGCCTCGTGCTGCTGTGCATCATCGTCTGCATCTGCCGCTGCTGCTGCTGCCGTAAGAAGGAGGAGAAGAAGAAGAAGAAGGCTGGGGCTCTCATCAATGGCGGCGGCGGCGGCAAGGGCGGCGGCGGCAAGGGCGGCGGAGGCGGCAAGGTGAGGGTCCGGCCACCCACGACGGCCTCGCCGATCTAGCGGAGGGAGGGGTTCACCGGGACAGCCGCGGGACACTGCCGCGTGACACAACCGCGTGACACAACCGCGTGACACACCCACGTGACACACCCGCGTGACACAGCCACGTGACAGCCACGTGACAGCCACGTGACAGCCACGTGACACACCCACGTGACAACCACGTGACACACCCACGTGACAACCACGTGACAACCACGTGACAGCCACGTGACAACCACGTGACAGCCACGTGACAACCACGTGACACACCTACATGACAACCACGTGACAGCCACGTGACAGCCACGTGACAGCCACGTGACACCCACGTGACACCCACGGGGCAACCACGTGACACCTACGTGACAACCACGTGACAACCACGGGACACTCACGCAGGGCCAGAGCAGGGAGGCGTGCTCGCTAGCAAGCCCCGCCCACTCCTGATAACCGAGCCCACTCCTAATAGTCCCGCCCTCTCCTAATAGCCCCGCCCACCCCTAATAGCCCCGCCCACCCCTGGTAGCCACGCCCACTCCTAATTCCCCCACCTGCTCCTAATATGCCCTCGCCCACTCCCAGCAGCCCCGCCCACTTCTAATAGCCCTGCCTACTCCCAATAGCCCCGCCCACTCCTGACAGCCCCCGCCCTCTCCCAATAGCCCCGCCCACTCGTGACAGCCCCGCCCACTAAGTGACTAGCCCCGCAGCGAGCGGGCTCACCCTCTCCACTGTGCTGACGGTAGGAATAGCGATGGCTGCAGCGCTGGTGGTCGTTATCGTGACGGTGGTGGTGATGATGGTGGTGACGATGGTGGTGACGGTGATGATGGTGGTGACGATGGTGGTGACGATGGCGGTGACGTTGATGATGGTGGTGACGATGGTGGTGACGGTGATGATGGTGGTGACGATGGTGGTGACGGTGATGATGGTGGTGACGATGGTGGTGACGATGGCGGTGACGTTGATGATGGTGGTGACGATGGTGGTGACGGTGACGATGGTGGTGACGATGGTGGTGATGATGATGGTGGTGATGATGATGGTGGTGACGATGACGGTGATGATGGTGGTGACGATGGTGGTGATGATGATGGTGGTGATGATGATGGTGGTGACGATGACGGTGATGATGGTGGTGACGATGGTGGTGATGATGATGGCGGTGACGATGGCGGTGATGATGATGGTGGTGATGGTGGTGATGATGATGGCGGTGACGATGGCGGTGATGATGATGGTGGTGATGATGGTGGTGACGATGGCGGTGATGATGATGGCGGTGACGATGGCGGTGATGATGATGGTGGTGACGATGACGGTGACGATGGCGGTGACGATGGTGGTGACGTTAATGATGGCAGTGACGTTGATGATGGCGGTGACGATGGTGGTGACGATGGCTGTGACGTTGATGATGGCGGTGACGATGGTGGTGGCGGTGACGATGGTGGTGACGATGGCGGTAACGATGGCTGTGACGATGGTGGCGATGATGACGATGATGATGGCGGTAACGGTGATGATGGCGGTGACAGCGATGATGACGACGTTAATGACTGTAACAAGATATGACATTTAACGATTACATTCGTGCTTAAGTGAAATGGTGATGATCATGGTGATGATGATGCTACTATTGATGATGATATTTGTAAAGAAGATGATAACCGCCGTGATGAAGGCCGTCGCGAAAATGACAACGGTGACGACGGCGATGATGAGGGTGATGATGATGACGATGATGTTGATGATGATAAGGGTGACGATGATGATGATGATGTTGATGATGATGAGGGTGATGATGATGACGATGATGAGGGTGATGATGTTGATGATGATGATGGTGATGATGATGACGATGATGAGGGTGATGATGTTGATGATGGTGATGGTGATGATGATGATGTTGATGATGATGAGGGTGATGATGATGACGATGATGAGGGTGATGATGTTGATGATGATGATGGTGATGATGATGACGATGATGAGGGTGATGATGTTGATGATGGTGATGGTGATGATGATGATGTTGATGATGATGAGGGTGATGATGATGACGATGATGAGGGTGATGATGTTGATGATGATGAGGGTGATGATGATGACGATGATGAGGGTGATGATGGTGATGATGATGATGATGGTGATGATGATCCTACGTTGGCAGGGTAAGGGCGGCGGCGGCGGCGGCGGCGGTGGCCGTGATTCCAGCGCCAGCGGAGGCATTGAAGATTCTCAGTTCCGGGGCCGGCTGCAGTACTCCATCTCGTACGACGCACCCAACGCCCAGGTGAAACACTCCTCCACCCCCTCCTCCCACTTCACCTCCTCCACATCCATCCCTCCTCCCACCCCCCACTCCTCCCTCCTCATCAAATCCTCCCTCAACGCTCTTCCTCCTCCAGTTTGTGATGATTCTGATGCCGTCACTCTCCTTCTCGCTCAACCACCACCACCGCGATCAACACCACCACCACTACCACCACCACCACCACAACCAACACCACCACGACTACCACCACCACCACCACAACCAACACCACCACGACTACCACCACCACCACAACCAACACCACCACGACTACCACCACCACGACTACCACCACCATGACCACCATCACGACCACCACCACGACCACCACCTCGACCACCACCACCACCACCACAACCACAACCAACACCACCACCATCACGACCACCACCACCACGACCACCACAACCAACACCACCACGGCCAACACCTCCATGACCACCACAACCACGACCACCACCACGACTACCACCACCACAACTACCGCCACTACCACAACCACGACCACCACCTCCACGACTACCACCACCACGACTACCACCACCACAACCAACACCACCACGACCACCACCACCACGACCACCACCACAACCACCACGACCAACACCTCCATGACCACCACGACCACGACCACCACCTCCACGACTACCACCACCACAACTACCACCACCACCACGACCACCACCTCCACGACTACCACCACCACGACTACCATCATCACAACCAACACCACCACAACCACCACCACCACGACCACCACCACCACGATCACCATCACCACGACCACCACCACCACCACGACTACCATCACCACAACCAACATCACCACCACGACCACCACCACCACGACCACCACCACCACCACCACGACCACCACCACCACCACCACGACCACCACCACCACCACCACAACGACCACCACCACCACCACGACCACCACCACCACCACCACCACCACCACGACCACCACGACCACCACCACCACGACCGCCACCACCAACACCACCACCACCACCACGACCACCACCACCACCACCACCACGACCACCACCACCATGACCACCATCACCACCACGACCACCACGACCACCACCACCACGACCACCACCACCATGACCACCATCACCACCACGACCACCACCACGACCACCACCACGACCACCACCACTACCACCACCACCACCACGACCACCACCACGACCACCACGACCACCACCACCACGACGGCCACCACCACCACCACCACCACCACTACCACCACCACCACGACCACCACCACCACGACCACCACCAACACCACCACGACCACCACCACGACCACGACCACCACGACCACGACCACCACGACCACCACCACCACGACCACCACCACGACCACCACCACAACGACCACCACCACCACCACCACCACGACCACCACCACAGTTGCAGGTGGAGGTTTTGAAGGCGGAGGACCTCCCGGCCATGGACAGGAACGGCAAGTCGGAGCCGTACGTGGTGGTGATGGTTCTGCCGGACAAGCAGAACAAGAAGGAGACCAAGGTGAAGAGGAACGACCTCAACCCCACCTTCAACGAGAAGTTCATCTTCAGGGTGAGGAGCGACAGAGAGAGTGTGTGTGTCTGTGTGTGTGTGTGTATGTATCTGTGTGTCTGTGTGTGTCTGTGTGTGTGTCTGTGTGTGTGTCTGTGTGTGTGTGTGTCTGTGTGTGTGTGTGTCTGTGTGTGTGTCTGTGTGTGTCTGTGTGTGTGTCTGTGTGTGTGTCTGTGTGTGTGTGTCGGTGTGTGTGTGTGTCTGTGTGTGTGTCTGTGTGTGTGTCTGTGTGTGTGTCTGTGTGTGTGTGTCTGTGTGTGTAGGTGCTCGCTAACAGCACTTGCCCCTACAGTCTGTTAAGGCTATACGGGGGATCTTTGTCTTTGTCTTTGTGTCTGTGTGTGTGTCTGTGTGTCTGTGTGTGTATCTGTGTGTGTGTGTGTCTGTGTGTGTGTGTGTCTGTGTGTGTGTGTCTGTGTGTGTGTCTGTGTGTGTCTGTGTGTGTGTCTGTGTGTCTGTGTGTGTCTGTGTGTGTGTCTGTGTGTGTGTCTGTGTCTGTGTGTGTGTCTGTGTGTGTGCATCTGCGCGTCTGTGTACCTGTGCCTCTGCGTGCGTGCGCGCGTGACGACTTCTTCTGCGCGGTCGCCCGCGGTTTGCTGTCGCAGGTCATCCCGGCGGAGACCGCGAACCGCACCCTGCTCTTCGTCGTTTATGACTTCAACCGCTTCTCCAAGCACGACATCATAGGCGAGGTGCGGCTGCCGCTTGCCTCCATTGACCTGGAGCACATCACGGAGGAGTGGAAGCTGATCAGCAAGTCGGACAACGACGAGGTGCCGCACGCACCAGGACCACCGCCGGAACCGCCGCGCGGAACCGCCGCCGGTGGTGGTGCCGCTGGAACAAATCTAGCGGAGCCACGTGCACACCACGTGCACCACCGGAGCCACTCACACCACGTGCACCACCGGAGCCACTCACACCACGTGCACCACGTGCACCACCAGAGCCACTCACACCACGTGCACCACCAGAGCCACTCACACCACGTGCACCACCGGAGCCACTCACACCACGTGCACCACCTGGAGCCACTCACACCACGTGCACCACCAAAGCCACTCACACCACGTGCACCACCAGAGCCACTCACACCACGTGCACCACCAGAGCCACTCACACCACGTGCACCACCAGAGCCACTCACACCACGTGCACCACGTGGACCACCAGAGCCACTCACACCACGTGCACCACCAGAGCCACTCACACCACGTGCACCACCAGAGCCACTCACACCACGTGCACCACCAGAGCCACGCACACCACGTGCACCACCAGAGCCACTCACACCACGTGCACCACCGGAGCCACTCACACCACGTGCACCACCAGAGCCACTCACACCACGTGCACCACCAGAGCCACTCACACCACGTGCACCACCGGAGCCACTCACACCACGTGCACCACCAGAGCCACTCACACCACGTGCACCACCAGAGCCACTCACACCACGTGCACCACCAGAGCCACTCGCACCACGTGCACCACCGGAGCCACTCACACCACGTGCACCACCAGAGCCACTCACACCACGTGCACCACCGGAGCCACTCACACCACGTGCACCACCAGAGCCACTCACACCACGTGCACCACCAGAGCCACTCACACCACGTGCACCACCAGAGCCATTCACACCACGTGCACCACCAGAGCCATTCACACCACGTGCACCGCCGGAGCCACTCACACCACATGCACCACCGGAGCCACTCACACCACGTGCACCACCAGAGCCACTCACACCACGTGCACCACCAGAGCCACTCACACCACGTGCACCACCAGAGCCACTCACACCACGTGCACCACCAGAGCCACTCACACCACGTGCACCACCAGAGCCACTCGCACCACGTGCACCACCGGAGCCACTCACACCACGTGCACCACCAGAGCCACTCACACCACTCACACCACGTGCACCACCGGAGCCACTCACACCACGTGCACCACCGGAGCCACTCACACCACGTGCACCACCAGAGCCACTCACACCACGTGCACCACCGGAGCCACTCACACCACGTGCACCACGTGCACCACCAGAGCCACTCACACCACGTGCACCACCCGAGCCACTCACACCACGTGCACCACCAGAGCCACTCACACCACGTGCACCACGTGCACCACCAGAGCCACTCACACCACGTGCACCACCCGAGCCACTCACACCACGTGCACCACCGGAGCCACTCACACCACGTGCACCACCCGAGCCACTCACACCACGTGCACCACCCGAGCCACTCAAACCACGTGCACCACGTGGACCACCAGAGCCACTCACACCACGTCCACCACCGGAGCCACTCACACCACGTGCACCACCGGAGCCACTCACACCACGTGCACCACTGGAGCCACTCACACCACGTGCACCACCACAAATCTGGCTGTTGCCTGATGAAGCTGGCTGTAATTACTTGCGAAACGTCGTACTCAGATGGTAAATGTTGGGGCTTTGCTCTCCAACACACCGGTGGTGCTGTACTTAGTATACTACACTATACACTACATTATACACTACACTATACACTACACTATACACTACAATATACACTACACTATACACTACACTTTACACTACACTATACACTACACTATACACTACTATACACTACACTATACACTACACTATACACTACACTATACACTACACTTTACACTACACTATACACTACACACTACACTATGTACTATACACTATACACTACACTATACACTACACTTTACACTACACTATACACTATACTACACTATACACTACAATATACACTACACTATACACTACACTATACACTACACTATACACTACACTACCCACTACACTATACACTATACACTACACTATACACAACACTATACACTATACACTACACTATACACTACTATACACTACACTATACACTACACTATACACTACACTACACTATACACTATACACTACACTATACACTATACACTACACTATACACTACTATACACTACACTACACACTACACTATACACTACACTATACACTATACACTACACTATACACTACACTTTACACTACACTATACACTACACTATACACTATACACTACACTATACACTACTATACACTATACAATACACTATACACTACACTATACACTACTATACACTACACTATACACTGCACTATAAACTACTATACACTACTATACACTACACTATACACTACACTACTATACACTACACTATGCACAATACTACTATACACTACACTATACACTACACTATACACTACACTATACACTACTATACACTACACTATACACTACACTATACACTACACTACACTATACACTACACTATACACTACTATACACTACACTATACACTACAATATACACTAAACTATACACTACACTATACACTAAACTATACACTGCACTATACACTACACTATACACTACACTATACGCTACTATACACTACACTATACACTACACTGTACACTACACTATACACTACACTATTCACTACTATACACTACATTATACACTACGCTATACACTACGCTATATACTACACTATACACTACACTATACACTACACTATACACTACACTATACACTACTATACACTACACTATACACTACACTATACACTACTACACACTACACTATACACTACTACACACTACACTATACACTACACTATACACTACACTATACACTACACTATACACTACACTATACACTATACACTGCACTATACACTACTATACACTACACTATACACTACACTATACACTACACTATACACTACACTATACACTACAATATACACTACTATACACTACACTATACACTACACTATACACTATACACTACACTATACACTACACTATACACTACACTATACACTACTATACACTACACTATACACTACACTATACACTACACTATACACTACACTATCCACTACACTATACACTACACTATACACTATACACTACACTATACACTATACACTACACTATACACTACACTACACTATACACTACACTATACACTACACTATACACTACACAATACACTACACTGTGCACTACACTATACACTACTATACACTACACTATACACTACTATACACTACACTATAAACTACTATGCACTACTATACACTACACTATACACTACACTACTATACACTACACTATATACAATATTACTGCACACTACACTATACACTACACTATAGACTACTATACACTACACTATACACTACACTATTCACTATTATACACTACACTATACACTACACTATACACTACACTATACACTACTAAACACTTCACTATACACTACACTGTACACTACTACACACTACACTATACACTACACTATACACTACACTATACACTACTATACACTACACTATACACTACACTATCCACTACACTATACACTACTGCTGTACTGGTAACGAATTGGCATGTTCCGTTTACGTGATAAACCTTTGCTTAATTGGCTGTGTCAGGTGGTGGCGGGTTTAACGACACAACATTTATTTCTTCACGAAATATAACCCAACAAACTGTAATTGTGGATGCTATTGCTCGCGAAGACCTACTAGATGTTAAACTATTTTTTTATTGTTACCAAGTAAGCCCCCCCCCACTCCATTGAGCTACCACTTTTTCAGAAGCAACCTGGCAATCATGAATCACAGCAGTCCAAACGAAATGACTGATCATCACCATCACGCGCACATTCATAGCAGCAGCCAAATACTCTAAACGCGGTGGTGATGTTGATTTCTAAATGTGGAAGAAAAAAAAAACGGTGGATGACCTCGAGAAAAATCCACGTGACCACGGGAAGTGAGAGAGAGAGAGAGATGAAAACTCTAAATATTCAGCGGGCATAAGGGTCGGGATCAAAAACCACGATCTACCGTATACCAGGCGAAATAGTTGACATCTCCCCCAGCCACAGAGGTGTCAGGGTCGGGATCGAACCCACGATCTCCTGTATGCCAGGCGAAATAGTTGACATCTCCTAGCCACTTGAGGTGTCAAGGTCAGGATCGAAAACCATGATCTACCGTATACCTGGCGAAATAGTTGACATCTCCTAGCCACTGAGGTGTCAAGGTCGAGATCGAACCCACGATCTCCTGTATACCGGACAAGGTAGCTGACATCTCCTAGCCACTGAGGTGTCAGGGTCAGGATCGAAAACCACGATCTATCGTATACCAGGCAAAATAGTTGACATCTCCTAGCCAAATTTTGATTTAAAGCTTTCGTGACTGCAGTAATTCATATTCTTAGTTTTTTCGGTAAAAACTAAGAATATGAATCTAAGAATATGAATCTCCTAGCCACTGAGGTGTCAGGGTCGGGATCGAACCCACGATCTCCTGTATACCAGGCGAAATAGTTGACATCTCCTAGCCACTGAGGTGTCAGGGTCGGGATCGAACCCACGATCTCCTGTATACCAGGCGAAATAGTTGACATCTCCTAGCCACTGAGGTGTCAGGGTCAGAATCGAAAACCACAATCTACCGTATACCAGGCGAAATAGTTGACATCTCCTAGCCACTTGAGGTGTCAAGGTCAGGATCGAAAACCATGATCTACCGTATACCTGGCAAAATAGTTGACATCTCCTAGCCACTGAGGTGTCAGGGTCAGGATCGGAAACCACGATCTACCGTATACTAGGCGAAATAGTTGACATCTCCCCCAGCCACTGAGGTGTCAGGGTCGGGATCAAATCCACGATCTCCTGTATACCAGGCAAAATAGCTGACATCTCCTAGCCACTTGAGGTGTCAAGGTCAGGATCGAAAACCATGATCTACCGTATACCTGGCAAAATAGTTGACATCTCCTAGCCACTGAGGTGTCAGGGTCAAGATCGGAAACCACGATCTACCGTATACTAGGCGAAATAGTTGACATCTCCCCCAGCCACTGAGGTGTCAGGGTCGGGATCAAATCCACGATCTCCTGTATACCAGGCGAAATAGTTGACATCTCCTAGCCACTTGAGGTGTCAAGGTCGGGATCGAACCCACGATCTCCTGTATACCAGGCGAAATAGTTGACATCTCCTAGCCACTGAGGTGTCAGGGTCAGGATCAAAAACCACGATCTACCGTATACCAGGCGAAATAGTTGACATCTCCTAGCCACTGAGGTGTCAGGGTCGGGATCGAACCCACGATCTCCCGTATACCGTGCAAGGTAGCTGACATCTCCTAGCCACTGAGGTGTCAGGGTCGGGATCGAATCCACGATCTCCTGTATACCGGGTAAGGTAGCTGACATCTCCTACCCACTGAGGTGTCAGGGTCGGGATCGAACCCACGATCTCCTGTATACCAGGCAAGGTAGCTGGCATCTCCTAGCCACTGAGGTGTCAGGGTCAGGATCGAACCCACGATCTCCCGTACACCGTGCAAGGTAGCTGACATCTCCTAGCCACCGCGTCGATGAGTGTAATCTTGTTACTAGGTAAGGCCTCCACCTGCAAACGAGTCTTGAGATGCGATTTGGTCTTTTATCTTTTGTATCTTCGTCTCCTGGTGGGTAGGGGGGTGGGGTAAGGGGGGGGGCTGTGAGGGGCAATCTTGCGGAATGATAAAAAAAATTATCTTTTTTTTTTAGAAAATATAATTTTTCTCTTTCAGACATTTGTTTGGTTCTACTCGCGAAACCTTTGCTGAGTCACCTCCCCGCCCCCCCGCGTCTCGTAGATGGAGAACCTGGGGGACATCTGCTTCTCGCTGCGCTACGTCCCCACGACGGGCAAGCTCACTGTCGTCATCCTCGAGGCCAAGAACGTCAAGGCCATGGACAAGAACGGCCTCTCTGGTGAGGGCGGCCGCCAGGCCTCGCCGCTGTCCCGTACCGTAGCGCGGACACACGCGTGTGTACCGTAACACCCGTACCGTAGCACGTGTACCGTAGCACGTGTACCGTAACACCCGTACCGTAGCACACACGTGTGTGTACCGTAACACCCGTACCGTAGCACGTGTACCGTAACACCCTCACTGTGTTAGTGTACCGTAACACCCTCACTGTGTTAGTGTACCGTAACACCCTCACTGTGTTAGTGTACCGTAACACCCTCACTGTGTTAGTGTACCGTAACACCCTCACTGTGTTAGTGTACCGTAACACCCTCACTGTGTTAGTGTACCGTAACACCCTCACTGTGTTAGTGTACCGTAACACCCTCACTGTGTTAGTGTACCGTAACACCCTCACTGTGTTAGTGTACCGTAACACCCGTACCGTGTTAGTGTACCGTAACACCCTCACTGTGTTAGTGTACCGTAACACCCTCACTGTGTTAGTGTACCGTGACACCCTCACTGTGTTAGTGTACCGTAACACCCTCACTGTGTTAGTGTACCGTAACACCCTCACTGTGTTAGTGTACCGTAACACCCTCACTGTGTTAGTGTACCGTAACACCCTCACTGTGTTAGTGTACCGTAACACCCGTACCGTGTTAGTGTACCGTAACCCCGTCACTGTGTTAGTGTACCGTAACACCCTCACTGTGTTAGTGTACCGTGACACCCGTACCGTGTTAGTGTACCGTGACACCCTCACTGTGTTAGTGTACCGTAACACCCTCACTGTGTTAGTGTACCGTAACACCCTCACTGTGTTAGTGTACCGTAACACCCGTACCGTGTTAGTGTACCGTAACACCCTCACTGTGTTAGTGCACCGTAACACCCTCACTGTGTTAGTGTACCGTAACACCCTCACTGTGTTAGTGTACCGTAACACCCGTACCGTGTTAGTGTACCGTAACACCCTCACTGTGTTAGTGTACCGTAACACCCTCACTGTGTTAGTGTACCGTAACACCCTCACTGTGTTAGTGTACCGTATCACCCTCACTGTGTTAGTGTACCGTAACACCCTCACTGTGTTAGTGTACCGTAACACCCTCACTGTGTTAGTGTACCGTAACACCGGTACCGTGTTAGTGTACCGTAACACCCTCACTGTGTTAGTGTACCGTATCACCCTGTGTTAGTGTACCGTAACACCCTCACTGTGTTAGTGTACCGTAACACCCTCACTGTGTTAGTGTACCGTAACACCCTCACTGTGTTAGTGTACCGTAACACCCTCACTGTGTTAGTGTACCGTAACACCCTCACTGTGTTAGTGTACCGTAACACCCTCACTGTGTTAGTGTACCGTAACGCCCTCACTGTGTTAGTGTACCGTGACACCCTCACTGTGTTAGTGTACCGTAACACCCTCACTGTGTTAGTGTACCGTAACACCCTCACTGTGTTAGTGTACCGTAACACCCTCACTGTGTTAGTGTACCGTAACACCCGTACCGTAGCACGTGTACCGTAGCTAGCCTACCGTAACACCCTCACCGTAGCTAGCCTACCGTAACACCCTCACCGTAGCTAGCCTACCGTAGCACCCTCACCGTAGCTAGCCTACCGTAACACCCTCACCGTAGCTAGCCTACCGTAACGTCCTCACCGTAGCTAGCCTACCGTAACACCCTCACCGTAGCTAGCCTACCGTAGCACCCTCACCGTAGCTACCCTACCGTAACACCCTCACCGTAGCTACCCTACCGTAACACCCTCACCGTAGCTAGCCTACCGTAACACCCTCACCCTAGCTAGCCTACCGTAACACCCTCACCGTAGCTAGCCTACCGTAACACCTTCACCGTAGCTAGCCTACCGTAACACCCTCACCGTAGCTAGCCTACCGTAACACCCTCACCGTAGCTAGCCTACCGTAACACCCTCACCGTAGCTACCCTACCGTAACACCCTCACCGTAGCTAGCCTACCGTAACACCCTCACCGTAGCTAGCCTACCGTAACACCCTCACCGTAGCTAGCCTACCGTAACACCCTCACCGTAGCTACCCTACCGTAACGTCCTCACTGTAGCTACCCTACCGTAACACCCTCACCGTAGCTAGCCTACCGTAACACCCTCACCGTAGCTACCCTACCGTAACGTCCTCACCCTAGCTAGCCTACCGTAACACCCTCACTGTAGCTAGCCTACCGTAACACCCTCACCGTAGCTAGCCTACCGTAACACCCTCACCGTAGCTAGCCTACCGTAGCACCCTCACCGTAGCTAGCCTACCGTATCACCCTCACCGTAGCTACCCTACCGTAACACCCTCACCGTAGCTAGCCTACCGTAACACCCTCACCGTAGCTAGCCTACCGTAACACCCTCACCGTAGCTAGCCTACCGTAACACCCTCACCGTAGCTAGCCTACCGTAACACCCTCACCGTAGCTAGCCTACCGTAACACCCTCACCGTAGCTAGCCTACCGTAGCACCCTCACCGTAGCTAGCCTACCGTAACGTCCTCACCGTAGCTAGCCTACCGTAACGTCCTCACCGTAGCTAGCCTACCGTAACACCCTCACCGTAGCTAGCCTACCGTAACACCCTCACCGTAGCTAGCCTACCGTAACACCCTCACCGTAGCTAGCCTACCGTAACACCCTCACCGTAGCTAGCCTACCGTAACACCCTCACCGTAGCTAGCCTACCGTAACACCCTCACCGTAGCTAGCCTACCGTAACACCCTCACCCTAGCTACCCTACCGTAACACCCTCACCGTAGCTAGCCTACCGTAACGTCCTCACCGTAGCTAGCCTACCGTAACACCCTCACCGTAGCTAGCCTACCGTAGCACCCTCACCGTAGCTAGCCTACCGTAACACCCTCACCGTAGCTACCCTACCGTAACACCCTCACCGTAGCTACTCTACCGTAACACCCTCACCGTAGCTACTCTACCGTAACACCCTCACCGTAGCTAGCCTACCGTAACACCCTCACCGTAGCTAGCCTACCGTAACACCCTCACCGTAGCTAGCATACCGTAACACCCTCACCGTAGCTACCCTACCGTAACACCCTCACCGTAGCTAGCCTACCGTAACACCCTCACCGTAGCTAGCCTACCGTAACACCCTCACCGTAGCTAGCCTACCGTAACACCCTCACCGTAGCTACCCTACCGTAACACCCTCACCGTAGCTACTCTACCGTAACACCCTCACCGTAGCTACTCTACCGTAACACCCTCACCGTAGCTAGCCTACCGTAACACCCTCACCGTAGCTAGCCTACCGTAACACCCTCACAGTAGCTAGCCTACCGTAACACCCTCACCGTAGCTACCCTACCGTAACACCCTCACCGTAGCTAGCCTACCGTAACACCGTCACCGTAGCTAGCCTACCGTAACACCCTCACCGTAGCTAGCCTACCGTAACACCCTCACCGTAGCTACCCTACCGTAACACCCTCACCGTAGCTACTCTACCGTAACACCCTCACCGTAGCTACTCTACCGTAACACCCTCACCGTAGCTAGCCTACCGTAACACCCTCACCGTAGCTAGCCTACCGTAACACCCTCACAGTAGCTAGCCTACCGTAACACCCTCACCGTAGCTAGCCTACCGTAACACCCTCACCGTAGCTAGCCTACCGTAACACCCTCACCGTAGCTAGCCTACCGTAACACCCTCACCCTAGCTAGCCTACCGTAACACCCTCACCGTAGCTAGCCTACCGTAGCACCCTCACCGTAGCTAGCCTACCGTAACACCCTCACCGTAGCTAGCCTACCGTAACACCCTCACCGTAGCTAGCCTACCGTAACACCCTCACCGTAGCTAGCCTACCGTATCACCCTCACCGTAGCTAGCCTACCGTAACACCCTCACCGTAGCTAGCCTACCGTAACGTCCTCACCGTAGCTAGCCTACCGTAGCACCCTCACAGTAGCTAGCCTACCGTAACACCCTCACCGTAGCTAGCCTACCGTAACACCCTCACCCTAGCTAGCCTACCGTAACACCCTCACCGTAGCTAGCCTACCGTAACACCCTCACCGTAGCTAGCCTACCGTAACACCCTCACCGTAGCTAGCCTACCGTAACGTCCTCACCGTAGCTAGCCTACCGTAACACCCTCACCGTAGCTAGCCTACCGTAGCACCCTCACCGTAGCTAGCCTACCGTAACACCCTCACCGTAGCTAGCCTACCGTAACACCCTCACCGTAGCTAGCCTACCGTAACACCCTCACCGTAGCTAGCCTACCGTAACACCCTCACCGTAGCTAGCCTACCGTAACACCCTCACCGTAGCTACCCTACCGTATCACCCTCACCGTAGCTAGCCTACCGTAACACCCTCACCGTAGCTAGCCTACCGTAACACCCTCACCGTAGCTAGCCTACCGTAACACCCTCACCGTAGCTACCCTACCGTAACACCCTCACCGTAGCTAGCCTACCGTAACACCCTCACCGTAGCTAGCCTACCGTAACACCCTCACCGTAGCTAGCCTACCGTAACACCCTCACCGTAGCTAGCCTACCGTAACATCCTCACCGTAGCTAGCCTACCGTAACACCCTCACCGTAGCTACCCTACCGTAACACCCTCACCGTAGCTAGCCTACCGTAACACCCTCACCGTAGCTACCCTACCGTAACACCTTCACCGTAGCTAGCCTACCGTAACACCCTCACCGTAGCTACCCTACCGTAACACTCTCACCGTAGCTAGCCTACCGTAACACCCTCACCGTAGCTAGCTTACCGTAACACCCTCACCATAGCTAGCCTACCGTAACACCCTCACAGTAGCTAGCCTACCGTATCACCCTCACCGTAGCTAGCCTACCGTAACACCCTCACCGTAGCTAGCCTATCGTAACACCCTCACTGTAGCTACCCTACCGTATCACCCTCACCGTAGCTAGCCTACCGTAACACCCTCACCGTAGCTAGCCTACCGTAACACCCTCACCGGAGCTAGCCTACCGTAACGTCCTCACCGTAGCTAGCCTACCGTAACACCCTCACAGTAGCTAGCCTACCGTAACACCCTCACCGTAGCTAGCCTACCGTAACACCCTCACCGTAGCTAGCCTACCGTAACACCCTCACCGTAGCTAGCCTACCGTAACACCCTCACCGTAGCTAGCCTACCGTAACACCCTCACCGTAGCTAGCCTACCGTAGCACCCTCACCGTAGCTAGCCTACCGTATCACCCTCACCGTAGCTAGCCTACCGTAACACTCTCACCGTAGCTAGCCTACCGTAACACCCTCACCGTAGCTAGCCTACCGTAACACCCTCACCCTAGCTAGCCTACCGTAACACCCTCACCGTAGCTAGCCTACCGTAACACCCTCACCGTAGCTAGCCTACCGTAACACCCTCACCGTAGCTAGCCTACCGTAACACCCTCACCGTAGCTAGCCTACCGTAACACCCTCACCGTAGCTAGCCTACCGTAACACCCTCACCGTAGCTAGCCTACCGTAACACCCTCACCGTAGCTAGCCTACCGTAACACCCTCACCGTAGCTAGCCTACCGTAGCACCCTCACCGTAGCTAGCCTACCGTAACACCCTCACCGTAGCTAGCCTACCGTAACACCCTCACCGTAGCTAGCCTACCGTAACACCCTCACCGTAGCTACCCTACCGTAACACCCTCACCGTAGCTAGCCTACCGTAACACCCTCACCGTAGCTAGCCTACCGTAACACCCTCACCGTAGCTAGCCTACCGTAGCACCCTCACCGTAGCTAGCCTACCGTAACACCCTCACCGTAGCTAGCCTACCGTAACACCCTCACCGTAGCTAGCCTACCGTAACACCCTCACCCTAGCTAGCCTACCGTAACACCCTCACCGTAGCTAGCCTACCGTAACACCCTCACCGTAGCTAGCCTACCGTAACACCCTCACCGTAGCTAGCCTACCGTAACACCCTCACCGTAGCTAGCCTACCGTAACGTCCTCACCGTAGCTAGCCTACCGTAACACCCTCACCGTAGCTAGCCTACCGTAACACCCTCACCCTAGCTAGCCTACCGTAACACCCTCACCGTAGCTAGCCTACCGTAACACCCTCACCGTAGCTAGCCTACCGTAACACCCTCACAGTAGCTAGCGTTTTGTTCGTGATTTGTTTCAAAGAACCAGGAGAACATCTTAACGGCGTTTTACTTTTTGCTTAATTGCCGGAAAGGGTGAAACGCATTCTTGAATTTTGTCACTGGCAAGAAGGGGTGGTGGTGGGGGAGGTTGTGGGGGGGGTGTGCCTTGATGTCGATGCTGTGCGGCTTTGACGCTCGATCACCGCAGACCCCTTCGTGAAGATCCAGCTGATGGAGAACGGCAAGAGGATCAAGAAGAAAAAGACGACCATCAAGAAGGAGACGCTGGACCCCTACTACAACGAGTCGTTCACCTTCGACATCACCACCGACCAGATCCACGTGGGTCGAGAGCGAGAGAGGGATAGCGGGAGAGGGATGATGAGTCCCCATCGGGGCCGTGCTGGGTTGGTGGATGGGTGGGTTGATGGGTGATGGGATTGGTGGGTGGTTGAGTGGGTGGGTGGGTTGAGTAGGTGGGTGGGTCGGTGTGTGTGTGGGTGGGTGGGTGGGTGGTGGGTTTGGTGGTTGAGTGGGTTGGTGAGTGGCTGGATTGGTGGATGGGTGGGTTGATGGGTGATTGGATTGGTGGGTGGTTGAGTGGGTGGGTGGGTTGAGTAGGTGGGTGGGCGGGTGTGTGGGTGGGCGGGTGGGTGAGGGGATTGGTGGTTGAGTGGGTTGGTGAGTGGCTGGGTTGGTGGATGGGTGGGTTGATGGGTGATTGGATTGGTGGGTGGTTGAGTGGGTGGGTGGGTTGAGTAGGTGGGTGGGTGGGTGGGTGTGTGGGTGGGTGGGTGGGTGAGGAGTTTGGTGGTTCGTGAGTGGCTGGGTTGGTGGATGGGTGGGTTGATGGGTGATTGGATTGGTGGGTGGTTGAGTGGGTGGGTGGGTTGAGTAGGTGGGTGGGTGTGTGAGGGGTTTGGTGGTTGAGTGGGTTGTTGAGTGGCTGGGTTGGTGAGTGGCTGGGTTGGTGGATGGGTGGGTTGATGGGTGAGTGTATTGGTGAGTGGTTGAGTGGGTGGATGGATGGGTTGAGTAGGTGGGTGGGTGGGTGAGTGGGTTGGTGGATGGGTGGTTTGATGGGTGAGTGGATTTGTGGGTGGTTGAGTGGGTGGATGGGTTGAGTAGGTGGGTAGGTAGGTGTGTGGGTGGGTGAGGGGGGTCGGTGGGTGGGTTGGTAGATGGTCCCATTGGTGGATGATTTGAGTAGTTGGGTGGGTCTGTAGGTGTTTGTGGGTGGATGGGTTGAGTAGGTGGGCGGGTGTTTAGGTGGGTGGGCGAAGGTTTTCGGTGGTTGATTGGGGTTGGCGAGTGGCTGGGGTTGGTGGATTGTTGGGTTGATGGCGGGGAGTGTGTTGCTGAGTGGGTTGATGGCTGGCTGGCTTGGTGGGGTCAGTGTGTGGGCGGGCACGTGCCCGGTTGAGTGTGGGCATGTGCCCGGTTGAGTGTGGGCACGTGAGCGGGGGTTGGTGGCTGGGTTTTTGCTGAGTGGTTGAGTGCGGGGCGGTAGCACCGTGGTTAGAGCCCTGAGCTGTCCCAGGCTCGATTCCCGCTCACGGTCGACGCCGGTTGACGATTCCCTGAACCGGTCCCGGGCCTCCCCCTAGGTCGTTACCCGGGCACCAAATGATTACCTGGCACCTGATGTTGGCCACCCACCCCAGCGGCATCCTCCATGGGCGACGCTGCTGCTCGCTAACGGCGCTTGCCCCAAAAAAGTCTGTTGAGGCTACGCGGGCGGGTGGGTGGGTGGGTGGGATCTTTCTCTTTCGTTTGTACCTGTCCCGACCGGACAGCGTGGAGCTGTAACCCACCCACGCACGCTCTATCCGTGTCCGTCTCTCTCTCTCTCTCAACCCGTGACACCACCGCCCCTCGCTCTCCTCCCCTCCCCTCTCCTCCGCCACGCCACAGAAGGTGCAGCTGGTCATCTCGGTCATCGACCACGATAAGATGAAGAAGAACGACATGATCGGCAAGGTGTTCGTGGGCTCGGAGGCGACGGGCGGAGGCCTCCGGCACTGGAATGACATGCTGAACAACGCGCGGCACCCCATCGCTCAGTGGCACAGCCTCAGCCGGCCCGAGGAGGTGAAGACGGCTCTCGGGCAGCGCTAGCAACGGGGATCACCCCCCCCACCCCCCACCCCCACCAGACACCCCCCCACCCCCACCAGACCCCACCACCACCACCACCTTCACCACCCCTTCACCACCCCCCCACCAGACCCCCACCAGACCCCACCACCACCACCACCTTCACCACCCCTTCACCACCCCTTCACCACCCCCACCAGACCCCCACCACCACCACCTTCACCACCCCCCCACCAAACCCCTCCACCACCACCTTCACCACCCCTTCACCACCCCCACCAAACCCCCACCACCACCACCTTCACCACCCCCCCCCCCCCCATTTCCGCACATGATGTCAGCCACTTCGCTGAGCTACCGCTCAGTGGCGCAGCTTCAGCCGGGCCGAGGAGGTGAAGACGGCTCTTAGACAACGCTAGCAACGGGATCACCCCCCACCCCCCACCAGACCCCCCCCACCAGACCCCACCATCACCACCTTCACCACCCCTTCACCACCCCCACCAGACCCCACCACCACCACCACCTTCACCAACCCTTCACCACCCCTTCACCACCAAACCCCTCCACCACCACCTTCACCACCCCCCCCCCCCCCATTTCCACACATGATGTCAGCCACTTCGCTGAGCTACCGTTCAGTGGCGCAGCCTCAGCCGGGCCGAGGAGGTGAAGACGGCTCTTGGGCAGCGCTAGCAACGGGATCACCCCCCACCCCCACCAGACACCCCACCCCCACCAGACACCCCCCCACCACCAGACCCCACCACCACCACCACCTTCACCACCCCTTCACCACCCCCCCACCAGACCCCACAACCACCACCACCTTCACCACCCCTTCACCACCCCCCCACCAGACCCCACCAGACCCCACCACCACCACCTTCACCACCCCTTCACCACCCCCACCAGACCCCACCACCACCACCTTCACCACCCCCCCCCCCCCCCCCCATTTCCGCGCATGATGTCAGCCACTTCGTGGAGCTACCGCTCAGTGGCGCAGCCTCAGCCGGGCCGAGGAGGTGAAGACGGCTCTTAGACAACGCTAGCAACGGGATCACCTCCCCCCCCCCCCCCACCAGACCCCCCCACTACCACCACCTTCACCACCACCACCCCCCCTCCCCCCCCCCCCCCCGCACATGATATCAGCCACTTCGCTGAGCTTATCGCTGAGCGACGGCCAGGCCGCTTCTGACAAAAGCGCCGGCTACGGCGGACGGGCCTCCTTGCCCTGGCGAAGACACAAATGGGCTGAGCGCCGGCGATGCCTCTCGCTCGCTCGCCCGGTGGGGAGGTTCGCTCAGCTGGGGGGGGGGGGGGGGGTTACAGGGGTCCTCCGGAATAAACAGGGGGGGGTCGGCTTGTCCAAGCGGTCCCCTTTAACTCGCCGCAAACCCCGCGAAGGATTCGCGAAGCACAGCCCCCCCCCCCCCCCTTCTCTACGTCACTCAGCCCACCGCCGGACTCCCAGTATGCGGGCGACCGCAAACTCTCTCCCACTCGGGCCTCCCAGCCCCAGCCTGCCGCGTTCATTCCACTGCGGCGGGTTCCGACTTTGCGTCTGCCCGCTGCTCCGTCTTGCCGCGCTGCTCCCGAACCCTCGGCCCTTCTGACAGAAGTGCGGAGGGGCTCCCCATTACGCTAGCGGTGTCCGTTCAAGCTCCTGCTCCTGACTGACGCGAGTCTGCAGATCTCCCCATAGGCTTGCCCCTTGCCCCCCCCCCCCCCCCGCCGTACCTCGGCTTCCTTCCGCTCGTATCATGTCCACCGCCTGCTCGCTCCGCCCGCAACCTCTCCTTACTCCGTCACCGTCCCCGTCCCCGTCCCCTGCCCCCTGTGCACGATCCACCGCTTCCGCTCCTTTTCCCTGCTTGAGTCACCCGCACTGGAACAAACTTTCCCTCCACGTTAAGCGTGAAGCACCCCCCTCCTCCCCCACCCCCCCCCCCCCCCCCCCCGTGTAGCGTCCGCTCCTCCCTCAAGACCCCGCACCTCTTCGCATTTGCCCGTCCGTCCTTCACCCCTCCATCCCTAGGTACCCCCGCGATCCCCATACCCACGCACCTCCATCCCCATCACCCATTCCTATTCACCATATCACCTTCAGATAATCTGATTGTACCACTCAAAGCGCTTGTAGAACGCCTGGGATAAAGAGGCTATATAGGTATATATATAAAAAATACACGATAGCAGGACAATCATTTTGGAGGACGAGCGCGTTTGTAATTATCACAATTATCAAAGCACGTTTTATTGCATTGTCCTTGTGCTGTCCTCTGGCCTCACGCCGGTGGTGAGACACGGCCATTACAGGAGGAGGCTGTGTGGGCTCTGGTGCAGGCTATTCAGTCTCAAGGACGATGCGTACATTATCATCGTCGAAGCGCGCTTGTTTTTGCATGCCCCTTTAAACCACAGAGCATGGCCGTGTGACTTAACGCAGACCTGACGATGCCTCGCCGCAACGTGCTTCTACGCTCGGGGTGTTCGACCAACACCTGAACGCCCCTCGTGGGTTCTTGCCGGTAAAACGGGGGGGGAAGCTACAGCTGACTCCGCTTTTCCCCGGGTGTCCGTGTGAAACTTTTTTTGGCTATTCTAATGTCCAAAATGTCCACAGTTCGTGCCACGTTCTTCCGTTTGCTGCCACACACCACCCCACACCCCCCGCCCCGCGCAAATTTCCGTGAACGGACGGCATCGACGGTCGTGTTCTCCCGAACGGTTAAGTCGAACATTTTTACTCCTCTGTATTTTAAGGAAAGCGTTTGGGCGGGGAGGGTTTGCGTCTTATAATCTGGTATTCGTGTGGTTTATTTTCGTTTGCGTGTGACCAGATTTTATTTAACTTGATTGACACCGGGGGGACAGCTTTCGGGGATGCTGCCTAGGCTTTCTGGCACATCTTTTGATCCGCAGGACACGGAAAAAAGCAAATGCCATTAGTTTTAATTTTTCAGATATCGGACTTTTTACAACCCAATTTCGGAATATATTTGGTATCTAAGGATATAGGTCGAAAGAGATTTTTACGTATTTTAAACTTTCTTTGCTTAGGCTCAAGATTGTACAATCTTAAATAATATCCATAATAAAGGTTTTTGTTGTTGTTGTTGTTCGGGTTAGATCGCGTAAATATAAACGTGCGTCGTGAAACTAGCCACCGCCACCCGACACAGCCAATCAGTCAATAATTGTCACCTAAATAAAACTTGGCCAATTACTTAACGAGTTCAGCGCTCACCATTCCTATCAACCGACAAATTCAGACCTCATTGGTCACCCCGCGCACCTCATAAATCTCAACGTTCATCGTACAAAGTCCCATCGCGCGGGTCAAAACACAAACAAGCACCGTTGGGTGTTGCTGTTGCCGTATTAAAACGTCTGTATGCCGTATAGACCTTAAAAACACTCAATAGCGGTTAGTTCCATTTATTTGGTACGGTCCTGTGAGCCATTCGGCTCTCGAATCGGGGTTGCAACCGCAACAAACAAAAAACAAAAACACGAACAAGAAAAAAAAAACATCTTAAAGTGACTTTGTGTGTGTGACTGTGCAAACCGAAAATCCAGGGAAAAAAACAGCAAAATATTCCTGAAAAAGTTACCGTGTACACCAACGCTGTGGGCAAAAATCCCAGTGGGATGCAAGTCAAACAACAACAACAACAACCACAAGACAACTTAAGATTAAGGCCATCAGTCTAAACTCCATACTGTAATAAACAAAAACATGGCCAAACCCCCCCCAAAAAAAAACGTTTTCGAAATCACCAAAATAAAGCCTTAAATGCAATGCAACAGTGATCGCAGGGGCCGCGACCGAATTTTTAACAATAAACTACATTTTCTTTGGTTCTTTCGGTAAAGTCACCACGTAGAATGAGAATAAAATAATAAATTGATAAAATAAAATAACACAATAATATTCTCACGACGTTTCGGCCACAACACAAGCGGCCTTCATCAGGTGAAGGGACGAGACTGTCTGGTAGGACAGCGCTGGAGTGCGAGAGCCACGTTCAGATCACGGCCTTGATGCCTCAACTTGTGTTGTGGCCGAAACGTCGTGAGAATATTATTGTGTTATTTTATTTTATCAATGTATTATTTTATTCTCATTCTACGTGGCTTTACCGAAAGAACCAAAGAAGATGAATCATTGCAGTCACGAAAGCTTTAAATCGAAAAATAAACTACATTAATAGCGGTAAAGCCGGACAGGTCGATGAGGCAATGGTAAACCCACAGCGTTTTGCAATTCGAGCGAATTACACTGTTCACGGCCCCGAGTTCCGCGCCCGTGTAAAAGCGACCTTGAACGTCACGATGGCGAATTCCTTACAGCCCAAAAGCAGTGCCGTTCGAGGACACCGCGTGAGGTCACGGCAACTTTTTTTTAGCGGGGTGAAAAAAATGACATCGGGGGGGGGCGGAAGCGACTCTGGACTCTTTTTATTTTTTTAAACCCCCCCCCCCCCCGTCGCCCTGAATAACGGGGGCGGTGACCTCCCCTTCGTGCCAGCCGATCGCAATCCCAAAAAGCGCCCCCCCCCCCCCCCCCCCGAAATCGAACTTTCGGCTCGAGGTTCCGTCATCGCGGACGGTCGGAGAGTTTGGCGAGACAAATCGTTTGTGGCGGTGGGGGGTTACCCCAGAGTGTGGCATCTCAACAGCTGCTCCAGGCCAGCGGTTCTCAAGAGTGTGGGCGCCACGGCGAGGTCGTGGGTTCAATCCCGACCCCGACAGCTGCTGCTGCTGTTTGCTGCTGTGTATTTGGAGTCTGCGTGCATCTCTCTCTCTCTCTCTCTCCCCCCCCTCTTCCTCCTCCTCCTCCTCCAAATTCAGAATCAACATCGCCACGCGTTTAGAGTGTTGGGCTGCTGGTGTCATTTGTGAGAGCCGGGTCGCTTCTGGAAACGAGCTACATAGCTCGGCAGCGGGCAAGTGAAATAGTTTCGTTTCAGTAGTGGTCCGTGACGGTCCTCCCGGTGGGTCCTTGGCGGCTGTGATGCAAACGCAGAGTTGATCAGCTGCGTA